GATGCCACAAAAAGAGGGCATGGAAGCAGTGTGTCCCCTTCTCCCCTCTAGATGTTGCTACAAATCTCTTCAATTCCTGATCTGCATCCTTTATAATAAAACTGTAATCCTAAGTACAGTGGTTTCAGTTAGTTCTTTTTTTTTTTTTTTTAAAGATTTTATTTATTTATTTGAGACAGAGAGAATGAGAGAGAGAGAGCACATGAGAGGGGGGAGGGTCAGAGGGAGCAGCAGACTCCCTGCCGAGCAGGGAGCCCGATGCGGGACTCGATCCAGGGACTCCAGGATCAGGACCTGAGCCGAAGGCAGTCGCTTAACCAACTGAGCCACCCAGGAGCCCGGTTTCAGTTAGTTCTGAGTCGTTCTACCAAATTATCACAACTGAGGGGCTGTGGGAAGCCTCAAATTTGTAGCAGGCTAGACCAGAGTGTGGGTGGACTGGGTCACTGAAACTTGCCCTGCACAGTAAGGTAGGTCTTTGAAGGACTTTGCTCTTAACTTGCTGAGTCTTTCCTAACTCCAGGTAACTAGTATCAGAACTGAACTGTAGGACACCCAGTTATGGTACAAAATTAGTGTCAGAACAGTGACTTCAGAGAGACCTTAATGGTTTTGTTATTGTTTTAAAGGGGAAGGAGACAAGTTCTTATTCTTAAAGCAAGTATTTTCCTGTATTAGACCGGTTATCTCATTTCCTGAGGACACTGAAACCAGACTCACATTTATTCTTCCAGCCCACCTCCTGTAAGGGGTCTCTTGGGTGACTCTAATGTTTATGTAGATAATACATTCAACCACCTCATCTGTCTTCTCACTCACCTTCACCTCAATCCTACACCTCTTATAAGTTCCTTCTCATAACTCTTAGAGGCCTCGAACTCAAATGTTCCTTAGAGACAGATACCCTGCTTGAACATCTGAACCAGGCCAGGAACAGAAAACTACAGGAAACGGAGGACTGAGGGGAGCTGAAGAATGCATATCCCAGGGGCGCCTGGGTGGCTCAGTTGGTTGAGCGACTGCCTTCGGCTCAGGTCATGATCCTGGAGTCCCGGGATCGAGTCCCGCATCAGGCTCCCTGCTCGGCAGGGAGTCTGCTTCTCCCTCTGACCCTCCCCCCTCTCATGTGCTCTCTCTCATTCTCTCTCTCTCAAATAAATAAATAAAAATCTTTAAAAAAAAAAAAAAAAAGAATGCATATCCCAACCAAGGTCGGGGGGTGGGGGGTCGGGGGGGCCTGCTACTACTGAGACACAGCCACTGATGTCATCCAGGAAATGTGGATTAACTGTTGCCAGATGTTCTGATTTTTCTTCTAAAGAAAAGCAGACTTCAGAAGACTTTCACTCTTATGTGAAATCTCCAGATTTTTTTTTTTTTTAAGATTTTATTTATTTATTTGACAGAGAGATAGAGAACACAAGCAGCAGAGGGAGAAGCAGGGTCTCCCCCGAGCAGGGAGCCCGATGCGGGGCTCGATCCCAGGACCCTGGGATCATGACCTGAGCCGAAGGCAGACACTTAACGACTGAGCCACCCAGGCGCCCCTCGAAATCTCCAGATTTTTAAACTTAAGCAATTAATTTTTTAAAAACAGAAGAGATCACAAATGGTCCCAGATAAACCAAATGGCTGTTAATCACTACTTTATTTATTTATTTTATTTTTAAAGATTTTAATTTATTTATTTGACAGAGAGAGACACAGCGAGAGAGGGAACACAAGCAGGGGGAGTGGGAGAGGGGGAAGCAGGCTTCCCATAGAGCAGGGAGCCCGATGTGGGGGTGGATCCCAGAACCCTGGGGTCATGACCTGAGCCGAAGGCAGACGCTTAACGACTGAGCCACCCAGGGGCCCCTAATCATTACTTTAAATACTGCAGTTCCTCGGGGCGGTCCTAGGCCCTCCTTTCTCACTCTGTACTCCCTCCTTAGGGGAGCACCATCCATCACACGATGACAGATACACAGACGGTTCGTAAATTTATAATCTTTTTTTTTTTTTTTTAATAGTACAGTGAAAGAGCCACACATAACTGATAAAGAGAAGAATACCAGGACAATATGGAAATTGTGCGAGTCCACACATGATTTTTCAAAGCACATTAATGTTCTGAAGCACCAAGTTAACAGTGGAAGAGAATATATTCACACAAATGAAATGGAGTAAACCATGGAGCAATGCACTTCTCTTCACAGTGCCCATTCATCATTCATCCCATATTCCTCTTCTTGGCTCCAACTGGTCAGAGATTTTCTGATGAGTGCTTATCCTGTGCTTTCCCCCAATCTCCATGCAAAAAAAACCAAACAAGGACAATAAACCAGAACCAGCTATATGTGGCATCACTTCATTTATTTGCCAATTTTTGTGTCTCCAGCTGAGCAGCTTCAACCCTTCTTTATAGTCCCTTCTATCAAGTTACTTTTATTTCCTAAAAAGTTAAAGCCTATGTTTACTGGAGTATCTCTTTATTTATTAAACAACTTGTCTTTTTAACTGCTGCTGGCTGGCATTTTCTAGAATTATTTTTCTTGGTGCTCTGGTTACAAAGTTGCATACATTTGGCGAATCTGCTCCCAGCTTTATCTTTTCCAAAAGCCCTTTTATTTTCAGTGAATGATATTGACAGTTTCTCAAAACCTCCTAGTGAAATGCCCCTATCTCCAGCCAAAACATCTTTATTGAGCTCCAGAACTAGATCTCCAACTGCCTGCTCAGTATCTCCACTTGAATGTTCTGAAGGCATCCCAAAGGTTATGCAGATTAAAAGTGAAAACTGTGCGCTCCTTAAATGTGTGCCTCCTCCCGGCTGGCACCAGCCCTCTCCAGTGTGCCTGCACAAGTCCACCAGCTGCTCACCTAAGTGCCACCGTTTCCTCCAGACAGACCACCGCGCCACCTACAAACCAGTCTCCCTATAGCTATTTTTCTCCTCTGCAGTGCAGTGTTCACACATGGGCCAGAATGATCTTTTAAAAAAGCAAATCTAAAATCAACACCCCTCTGTCCCTTGCCTAAGCCTAGTATAAAACCTAAACTCTCCGGACACGGTCTGGCTTCTCTATTTGCCACAACTCTGGAACCATTCTGGTGTTCCTGTCCGGCCACAGTGACCCCGCCGCAGAGTCTAACGTCCAAGCTCTTCGTCCAGGACCTTCAACTGTGCTCTTTACTGAAACCTCAGCTTGAGAAGCCAGGGGCTTCTCATCCTTCAACTTTTTGTCCTTGGGCCATAACTAGTAACTTTATCTAAACAGGTGTCCCCCTCCCCTAATGATCCATCTGACACTGTTGCATTAACTCGATGGCGTTTTTCCTCAATTATGCCTTTATCTGCGTGCTTGCTACGCTGTGTCTTCCTTCACTAAAGCTGAAAGTTAACGAGGCCTGCCATCATGTCTTTACTATACGCCAGGAACAGCACCACGTTTTAGAATTTAATAAATAAAGGAAGGATTGCATGAATGAATGAATGAATGAATAAATGAGTAAATGGACTCCCATTTTCCCAGCTAACTGCTGCTCATCCTTCACGTAACAAACAGTTTAGAGTCACTTTCTCAAGGATGGCTTGCTGAGTTAGGCCCCCATTCCACACTCTCATAGACCCTGTTCTTCTTCTTTTTTTTTTTTAATATCCCTTTATCGATTTTTAATGACATTTAACATGTAAGTTTTTTTATTACCCCTCTCCTCCATTGTAAGTTGCATGAGAACAATGAACTTGCATCCCTTATTCCCTAGTATATCACAAGGGCCCACAAAGTAGAATGCCTGGCAGACAGATATTCAATAACTGTTGTTGATTAAATATTTATCAAGTACTTACTGAATGAATCTAATTATAAGTTTAGAAACATTTTTTTTTCTCTTTATTACATTGTTAAAAACTAAAGAATGCTCAGTTTCTCAACCAAAATGGCTTTTAGTTTTTTTAAAAGTTCATGAATAATGAACATCAGGAGCAAAAACTTATCTCTGAGGGGTTTATCATTTCCTCTCATGCACAAGTTTTTAATCTTTGGGGGAAAACTACTACCGATTAACATCTGTGTACTTACTATGTGCAAACCCCTTCAGTAAACACTATAATCTCATTACTTGTCATGATTACCTTATTATTACCATTTTATAGGAATGGATATAGAGGCTTAGAGAATTTACTTAGAGAATCTGATGAAATGTATGGATTTTCTCCTGAAAAACACACACAAACATACATACACATAATTTTATTTATAACAAGAGAGGTTCTATGGACTCCCTAGGGTTAATTTACAAACCCCCAGAGTTGAGATCTCTGATAAAGAACTTCTGATGAGAGATGCCTTCTACACGATTGGGCAATGCTGCCTGTTCCTTGTTTTCTATCTTTGTTTCACTTAAGGCACTTTGTACATGTTACAAATGTATTTATTGTCTAGATTTGCTTCATGTCATTTTATATACATTTAAAGCAGCTTTTATGAAGATATCTAGAGATAACTCTGCAGAATGAAGTCCCTCTGAATACTGTTACCTTTTATGAAGCTGATAATTTTGAATGCTTAGATTTGTATTAAGAGACATACAGGGTTAACAACATTTCTTCCTATAACATAAAATCACTTATAATTATTAGATTAGCATATATTAAAAATCCTGCACAGCTACTAACAGATATCTAAGAGCCATTTATCACTGAAGAAACTGTAAAGGCCTTTCTGCATAAGAAAGAATCATTTTTCCTGGTTTCCAAAAGTTGAGTGTTATTTGTTTATATAATATCTCTTCTCAATATTCAAAATTATTGCAAAAGCATGCCTTATCTTACTTCTCACATCTATTGAAAATGAGAACTTTGAAGACAACATTCCACATTTATTTATAAAAACAAAAACAAACCAAAAACCAGTAGATCTATTAAAGGTTCACATACATGTATCAGGCAACCTGTAGGCAAAATAGCCTTCTTTTCGCACACAAGTAACAAGGAAACGAAGAAATCACCGCCTTACCTGTCATGGTCTGTACCGCCCTTTCGCTGGAAGGCAGTGGCTCTTTCCTGTGAGGCCGAGTTAGTGCAGTGTCCTGTGCAGAGAACAGTCCAGGACTGTCAGTTAGTTTCTTCCGGCCACTGGAGTTAGGGTTTGAAACTCTGCAGCTGCCTTGCACTTTTGCACTTGTGAAAAGGTTTGTGTGCTCGTCACTGCTAGCTGGATCAGAGGTGGGAGTGAACCCTCCAAGGGATGAACCTGGAGAACTCTCCGAACAGTCGATCTGTAAAGGTGTTTGCAATCCCAAAGCCAGTGGACTAGATTCTGAAGGCTCTCGGTGGACCCACTGTTCTTCTCTATTTATTAAGCTTTTGGAAGGAGAGAGATGAGGGCAGGACATATGACATCGGTGCTTTTCCTTATGTTTATATCGCTCTCCAACAGTTTCCTTTCCAAATCGATAGCGCTTCAAAGACTCCAAAACAGATCTGGAAGAGCCAGTGTCCATGGAAACCTGGGGTTGCTCAGAAGAACGGTGTTCTCTGTGCTTGTGACGGTGCCTATGTTTGTGCTCGACCATCCAACCATAGGCCATCTCAGGAGGGACACTAGGGTAGGTACTCATGGAAAGGAGGGGAGTCCTGCTGGTTGTGAGAAAGGCCTCCTGTCGAAGTAGCTTATGCTTTTTCTTATGGTATTTGGTGGGATTGAGAAGTAAATGACCAGCATGCATATAGGAAGGAGGTGGAAGTGGGGGGGTGAAAGAAGGAGAAGGAGGAGGAGGATAGAGAGTGGGAGGGTACCTTCCATAGTAACCTAATCCTAGGGGAGTGGCTGTAAGGGGTGAGGGAGAATAAGGCATGCCATAGGAGGGATAGAATCCAGTACTAGAAAGAGGAAAACTAAGGCTATGCATGAAGGGCATCTCAGCCATTGCCTCCCTCATCTTAGGAGGTCTCCCTCTCTTCTTCTTTAAGTCAGGTTTTCGAATGTAGTGCAAAGGGTCTAAGGGGAAAGAAGGATGCGTATAGAAACTATTAAAGTTGATTCGAAAAATAGTTGGCAGCAAGTCTCGGGGGATAAAATGATGACTTCGATGGGTGATTCGAATTTCACTCAGACGACTTATCAATTCCTCCAGATCTGCAATAAAGTCCGGATCTTGTCTGCTTCGGAGCTGGGGGTATTTCTTTTTCCGTTTTCGTTTCTGCCTTTTCATCTTGTCATAGCTGAGGTAATCGTGATTCCTGCGCTTACATTTATGTTTATGTTTTTCTTTAAGACTGCTCAGGACTGTAGAGGTTTCAGGAGGTATCAGAGAAACATGTTCAAAAGAATGCCTCCTCTTTTTCTGTCCACAAAATTTCTCTGCTCTGTCTGATGTGCTGTTATTATCTGTTCCAATTCCACTATCACTGGGAATGGTCTCATCACTATGAGATTCACTAATGGGAGAAGGAGTAGCTTCTTTCAGAGAGGTGAGTTCACTCAAGTGTGAAGGAGAATTTGGCAACAAAGTAGGAGGAGAGAGTCGCCTCCTCCCCTTTGAGGCCTTCTTCATTGCAAGAGTCTGAATCATGCTGCCCTGTCTGGAGTGTAAATGCAAATATGGCACTGAACTGGGTTCAACAAAGCCTGCATCACTACTTACAGGGCTCTGACCTCCACTCGTCCCAGAAGACTGAGAGCAAATAGGTGATGGAAGAATCTCAGAACTACTAGCAGAGGAAGGCAGTAAAGGGGGAAGTATCTGTCCTAATGCTGAACCAGCTGCCTGCTGGGCGGTTTGCTCAAGGACAGCAAGGCTGGTAGGGCTACCAGAAAGAATGCCATTTAAGACAGTTTTTGGTTTTCGACCCCTTCTCTTTCCTATGTAAATGGTTCCTTTCTTGCTGACATTTATCTGTTGGCCCAATTTAGAGCCAAACGTGGCAGCAAGACTTGACACTGTATTATGGAGTTTGGATTGCACTTTCCCTTTATTACTTGATTCTACAGAGCTTGAAAGAATCTGATTCAACAGTTTCTTCCTCTTTAAAGTCTTCATTTTATTTATTTTGCGGATAATTGTTTTCATTAACTGTCCATTGTTTCTCTTAGAAATTTTTTTATCTGGTTCCATCTCAAGGTCACTCATGCTGCAGACAGTTGGCCTATGACTGTCGTCCAGATCATCTGGGTCCTGAAGCTGATCCTCACTCTCAAAGAAATCACTGCTGCTTCGATGGTTGTCACTTTCAGACTCCAGCTTGCTTGGACTCTCAGTGGCAACAAACGGAGCCACTGAGAGTACAGGTGGCTTCATCTTGACCGGTGACCTCATCTGCCTCTTAGGTCTGCCTCGTTTTTTCGGAAAGGGAGACACAGAAAGACTTTGTTTGAAGGAAGGAATTTCAATTTCTGGCTGTAAAATTGGGGGTTCTTGTTCTTCCTTAGACTGCAAAGAAAAAACTTTAGAGGCAGGTATTTTTAAAGTCCTTTTAGGTGGACCTTCCAGTTGAGGCATCTCCTTAGCTTTAGGTCTTCCTCTTTTGGGCTTATAAATATCAGACAAAAGGTCACTAGAGACACACATACTGGAGGATAGTTTGTGAGGAGCAAAAGCCTTGTGAGATGGTTTTTCACTATCAGTTAAGAGAGCAAGAGATGGAGTTGTGGACTTGCTCAACTTTGGCAATCGACGTTTAAGGAAGTCATGATCTACAAATGAAGATGGTCCAATGTTTTTCATAAACTTGGCTGGCTCGGAATTACTATTTGATAGTGAGCTACATGAAACATTTTTAAAAAGCTCTGATCTTTCTAGTTCTAGCCCTTTTGGAGACCGGCATGTGCTTCGTGCCACCACTTTAGTCCACCGAGGTTTTCTTCCTTTCCTTTTTTTTAATGGTTTGGACTGCAAACTAGAGCTGAGGCTTTCAGCAACCTGGCAGTGTTTGTCAGATGCAGTTACTGCACCAAGTTTTAGAAAGGGCTTGTTACTAAATAAACTAGTGAAGTTAACAACTGAAGGGGTAATTGCGTGAATACTGGATTCAGAAGTCAAACTTGGCTTTTTTCCCAGGGAAGAGCTTATTCTTGGAATATCTATATGTGTAGTTTTTGAATCAGTTAGCTCTTTATCGATCCCTTTACATTCAATATTCATGCTGTGACCCACAGACCTATGACCAATGTTCAAGTGGGTACTTTCAGAAGGAAACTGGTTCTTGCCAACAGATTCAGAAATTTCTTCCATTAATTCTGTGGTAGGACTTAAAAGTAACGGATTAGGGGTCAATTGTGAAGAAGTTTCAGGGGGACTTCTGGTTAAAGGATTAACAGATACAGTAGGTGATGGGGAAGGGAGATTGCTTTCTCCTACTGCACTAAAAGGGGATTTTGCTGTAGATGCATCAGAAGCAGCTCCCATTTGAAAGTCCGGAGAAGTGCAATATACGGGAGGTTGCTTTTCATGCTTTGAGGTTTCATAAGGCCCCCTGTCACTGGATGAGAAACTGTCTTGCTGAATGCATGTTCCTTCATTAAACATTTCTTTCTCCAAATTAATGATTTCTTTTCGAACTGAGAACTTTTCCAATATGCTCTCTTTACTCTGCCGTATAACATTCTTCTCAAAAGTTTTGCTGGTGGTACTATCTTTCAGGGATTCAGGAAGTTCCTGACTTTCATGACTACTGATGTTTGTACTACAAGAAGCCTTAAGTGGTTCCTGAGTGGGGAGCAGTGCTTCGGCTTTAAGGTTTATGGCATCTTTACTGATCAGTCCTGCCATAGAACAACTCACTAGTTTCTTTCCCATGTCCTTAGTAACTAATCCCATTGTTGAATTGGCTACAATCTTCTTTGCACAGTCCTTGGCCACGAGGCCAACAGTAGAACTCAACTTCTTGCCCAAGTCTTTATTAACCAGTCCGACCACAGTGCCGAGTCCTAACTTCTTTCCAGATTCCTTATTCACTAAACCTGGAACAATACCAATTCCTAGCTTCTTTCCTGAATCCTTGCTCAGCAGTCCTACTGTAGTGACAGTCCCTGGCTTTCTGCCTAAGTCTTTATTAATGAATACCGCTGTCGTGCCAGCTCCTAGTTTTTTCACAGAGTCCTTATTGACCAATCCTACTGTTGCATTAAACACTGGCTTTTTCCCAGGATCTTTAGTTACCAATCCAACTGCTGTGCTGATAGCTGGTTTTTTTATTAAGTCTTTATGTATTATTCCAGCTACAGAGCCAACACCTGCTTTCCTGATCAAATCCTTGCTAACCAGTCCTGCAGCAGTGCTAGTTCCTAACTTCTTCGGTTTAGTCTTGGAAGACTTAGAGGGAGGACAAGTTGCAATGAGCTGTGCCAACTTTTCTGTTACACTCGTTCCTCCATTAAGTAACGCTCTGTCCTTTAAATCAGGATCCCGGCTACCAACAAGAGTAGATGATGCCGCATTAATGTAATCTGTCATTTCTGAGTGCACTGGAGAAAGCTTCTTAGACAAAGGACTGTTTTCTCCCTGTGAATGAAGATGGATGCTCTCTTCAGATTGGCATTCAATGGCTGCAACATCACCTGTTTTCTTGTACAACTTTGAAGGGTCCTAAAATTTGAACAAGAAAAAGGATTCAGAGAGAGTAAACCTATCACTTCAGGTTAGCATTACAAGTGAACAAACCAACTGATCACATATCAGATAAAAGGTAGGCAACAGTGCTTTTTTTTTGAGGAAAAAAACAAACAAACAAACAAAACAAAAAAAACCTGATGAATGTTACACTGTGTCACAGGATGTGAGTTCCTCTGCTGCTGTCAGAGGCTAGCAAAATGTTCTTTGTTGACTTCCAACCTACCACATAAACCTATGTATTACTCAGTATTTAGAAAAATCCCTATTATTTTTTGACATTGTTTTAAAAAGGCAAATTACCAGTCTACTCTTACTTTACTTTAAACTAAATACACATTAGCATACAAATACACTGTTTCTGAAAAGAGAAATACTGTTACAATATCCCATGGTCCTCTTTTAAAATAATCAATCACAGCCTACCTCCTTCATTGATTTCAAAGATTTCCAACCAGCACTGTACGACCCCACCCACTTCCACTCCTTTAGCTCACTCTCACTTACGGTCTTGAATGAGTAGTCACTCCAGTTCCCTCTTAAGTGACAAGAATTAAAAGGACAATGAAATACATTCGTATTTTCTTTAGAATGTATTTTATATAACATTTTAGGAAATAACTTTTAAGTCATTAACATAAATTGTTATCCAGTTCATGAATCCTCACCATATACTTTACAAGTGAATTCGTTACTTCATAGAGCACTCTGTTTTACTTTTGGATAGCAATTAGAGAGTTGTCTTCTGGAACACCTGGGTGGCTTAGTCAGTTAAGCGTCTGCCTTTGGCTCAGGTCACGAGCCCAGGATCCCAGCGTCCTGGGATTGAGCCCTGCATCAGGCTCCTGGCTCAGTGGGGAGCCAGCTTCTCCCTCTCCCTCTGCCTATTGCTTCCCCTGCTTGTGCTCTCTCCCTCTCTCTCTGTCAAATAAATAAATAAAATCTTAAAAAAAAAAAAAAGAGTTCTTTTTTCCAGTTCTTCTTCTTTCCTTCAGCATAGATTTTTTTTTTTAAACAATTGAAGTATAATTGACAAAGTTGTTAACCATGAAATAGAAACACTTGAACAAATGGAAAGATATACTGTGTTCGTGGATAAGAAGACATAAAGATGACAATTTTTCCCTAAGCAAATTTATAAATTTAACACTATCCCAATAAAAATACCACCAGGATTTCTTTCAGAAATAAGAAAAATTATCACATTCATTGGAAAAAACAGACAAGCAAGAATAGCTAGCAAAATCTAAAAAGAAGAAAAGTAGGGGCGCCTGGGTGGCTCAGTTGCCTAAATGTGTCTTATTTTCAGCTCAGGTCATGATTCAGAGTTGTGAAATCGAGCCCCTCATCTGTGGAGCCTGCTTAAGATTCTCTATCCCTCTGCCCCCCAACCCAAACATAAAAAGAAGAAAAGCAAGGGAATAACTGTATCAAATGTTTTTAAAGCTTCTATCATGAAAACAGTATGGAACTGACACTTGAAAAGACAAAAGAACCAATGGAACAGGGCACAGCAACAAAACACAAACTCAAGCATCCAGACAGGAACTCTATGTAACATGGGGTGACTCCTACAGCAGGGAGATAGGTGAGAACTGGGAAACTACCACCTACATTAACTATACCTGTGACCAAGGAATCCCACTGTGGGAGATCTATTCCAAGACACATTGGCAGAAATAGAACGGCTACAGAAAGCCATAAAATGTACCACTATGTTTTAAGATTTTATTTTTAGGTAATCTCTATACCCTGCATGGGGCTTGAACTCACAATCCTGAGACCAAGAGTCACATGCTACCCCGAATGAGCCAGCCAGGTGCTCCTACCACTATTTTAATAGCAAATCCCTAAAATGATTACCTACAGGAGAGTAGCTCAATAAACCAAACTATATCTGTACTGCTGTGATGCTCTTCAAGAATATACTGTTAGATGAAAAAAGCAGGATAGAGAAATATGAATATATACCTGATTATATTAAACATGGAAGAAAAAAACAAAGATGAACGAAAATGGTAACGTATAAGGGAGGAAAGAAACCTAGAAGTTCGATCTCTCTGCATTTGCTTATGGTTCTAACTTTGCAATTACTGTTTTAAATATTTAAGAAACAAAATTATATCATATAGAAAAATATTCCAAATCTCTAAATATTGAAACAATGTAAACAAATACATCTATCAAATTAACTACATAGCTACATAGAAAACAATTATTTTGAGTTACCTTTAAGATTTATGTATTTATTTTAGAGATGAGAGAGAGTGCACAAGCACAAGTAGGGGGAAGGGCAGAGGGAGAGAGAGACAAGCAGACTCCTCACTAAGCGCAGAGCCCCATACGGGGTTCGATCCCACAACCCTGAGATCATGACCTTACCCGAAATCAAGGGTCAGACACTTAACTGACTGAGCCACTCAGGCGCCTTTCTTTTCTTTCTTTCTTTTTTTTTTTTTAAGATTCTACTTATCTATCTGACAGAGGGAGAGACAGCGAGAGAGGGAACACAAACAGGGGGAGTGGGAGAGGGAGAAGCAGGTTTCCTGCCGAGCAGGGAGCCCGACGCGGGGCTCGAACCCAGACCCTGGGACCATGACCTGAGCTGAAGGCAGATGCTTTAACAACTGAGCCACCCAGGCGCCTTTATTTTCAATTACTTTAAAACACAGTATTTAGCTACATGTTTTAAAGACAAAAAGCTGCCCATAAAAAAATCTTAAATTGCATCCAGTGAGAATATCAGTGGTAATATCGGTATAATTATTTTGAACCTAGATAGATGGATAATTGATAAATAGATCAAATAAGTTACTATATAAATGTCATTACGAACCAAAATTTTGGAAGAGAAGAGATATAATATAAAATCAAAGAAGTTAATTAAAAACCGTGTAATTTTGGGGTGCCTGGGTGACTCAGTCAGTTAAGCGTCTGCCTTGGGCTCAGGTCATGATCCCAGGGTTCTGGGATCGAGCCCCACATCGGGCTCCCTTCTCCGCGGGAAGCCTGCTTCTCCCTCTCCCACTCCCCCTGTTTGTGTTCCCTGTCTCGCTGTCTCTCTGTCAAATAAATAAATAAAATCTTAAAAAAAAAAAAAAAAGAATGAATGGGTCAACTAGGAAATTAAACAAGAATTTAAAAATTCATGGAAACAAATGAAAGTGAAAACAACTGTTCAAAATCTTTGGGATGCAGCCAAGGTGGTCCTAAAAGGAAAGTATATAGCGATACAAGCCTTTCTCAAGAAGCAAGAAAGGTCTCAACTACACAACTTAACCTACACCTAAAGGAGCTGGAGAAAGAACAGCAAATAAAGCCTAAACCCAACAGGAGAAGGGAAATAAAAAAGATCAGAGCAGAAATCAATGAAATAGAAACCAAAAGAACAGTAGAAATGATCAACAAAATTAGGAGCTGGTTCCTTGAAAGAATTAATAAGATTGACAAACCACTGGCCAGACTTATCAAAAAGAAAAGAGAAAGGACCCAAATAAATAAAATCATGAATGAAAGAGGAGAGATCACAACCAACACTGAAGAAATACAAACAATTACAAGAACATATTATGAGCAACTATATGCCAGCAAATTAGATAATCTGGAAGAAATGGATGCATCCCTAGAGACTATAAACAACAAAACTGAACCAGGAAGAGATAGAAAACCTGAACAGACCTATAACGAGCAAAGGAAATTGAAGCAGTTATCAAAAATCTCCCAACAAACAAGAGCCCAGGGCCAGATGGCTTCCCAGGGGAATTCTACCAAACATTTAAAGAAGAATTAATACCTTTTCTTCTAAAACTGTTCCAAAAAATAGAAATGGAAGGAAAACTTCCAAACTTATTTTATGAGGCCAGCATTACCTTGATCCCAAAAGCAGACAAAGACTCCATCAAAAAGGAGAATTACAGACCAATATCCCTGATGGACATGGACACAAATATTCTCACCAAAATACTAGCCAATAGGATCCAAAAGTACATTAAAAGGATTATTCACCACGACCAAGTGGGATTTATTCCTGGGCTGCAAGGTTGGTTCAACATCCGCAAATCAATGTGATACACTACATTAATAAAAGAAAGAACAAGAACCATATGATCCTCTCAATAGATGCAGAAAAAGCATTTGACAAAGTACAGCAACCTTTCATGATTAAAACTCTTCAGAGTATAGGGATAGAGGGTACATACCTCAGTATCATAAAAGCCATCTATGAAAAACCCACAGCGAGTATCATTCTCAATGGGGAAAAACTGAGAGCTTTCCCCCTAAGGTCAGGAACACGGCAGGGATATCCACTATCACCACTGCTATTCAACATAGTATTGGAAGTCCTAGCCACAGCAATCAGACAACAAAAAGAAATCAAAGGCATCCAAATCGGCAAAGAAGTCAAACTCTCACTCTTTGCTGATGATACTTTATGTGGAAAACCCAAAAGTCTCCATAGCCACATGCAGAAAAATGAAACTGGACCACTTCCTTACACCACACACAAAAAAAGACTCAAAATAGGTGAAAGACCTAAATGTGAGACGGGAATCCATCAAAATCCTGAGGAGAACACAGGCAGCAACCTCTTCAACCTCAACGGCAGCAACCTCTTCTTAGACACATCACCAAAGGCAAGGGAAACAAGGGCAAAAATGAACTATTGGGACTTCATAAAGATAAAAAGCTTTTGCAAAGCAAAGGACACAGTTAACAAAACCAAAAGACATCCGACAGAATGGGAGAAGATATTTGCAAATGACATATCAGATAAAGAGCTAGTTAAAGAACTTATCAAACTCAACACCCAAGAAACAAATAATCCAATCAAGAAATGGGCAGAAGACATGAACAGATTTCTGCAAAGACATCCAGATGGCCAATAGACACAAGTGCTCAACATCGCTCGGCATCAGGGAAATACAAATTAAAACCACAATGAGATACCACCTCACACCAGTCAGAATGGCTAAAAT